CACCTCAGCCCAGGAAACTAAGGTTTAGCATGCACCTGCAATCTGCCGGTAGTCACATTAGGTGCTGAATCTGTGTTGTCACAGTTAATCTTCACTAGAATATCATGTTTACCTGTGAGGGTCCTAAGGCTCAGGGATGTTGAGAAACTGCTGTTCGTGGTCAAACCACATACATCGAAGGTTACTAAAAACTTACTTGGGCTCAGGCTTTTGTGAGCTCATTGAAATCTTCATTGACTTGCCTGAAGTGAGTCCTCCAATGGGCAAAACCTCTCTTGCTTAATAAAAAGGCTGTTGCTGCCAAAGCAAGAGTAGATGGCATTGGTGACCATCTCCAAGTAGCAATGATATTTGCTTTCTTCTTCTTCTTTTTTTTTTTTTTTTTTGAGATGGAGTCTTGCTCTGTCACCCAGGCTGGAGTGCAGTGGTGCAATCTCAGCTCACTGTAACCTCCGCCTCCCGGGTTCAAGCGATTCTCCTGCCTCAGCCTCCCGAGTACCTGGGATTAAAGGCATGTGCCCTCATGGCCAGCTAATTTTTGTATTTTTAGTAATTAAAGGCATGTGCCCTCATGGCCAGCTAATTTTTGTATTTTCAGTGTAGACAGGGTTTCACCATATTAGCCAGGTTGGTCTCAAACTCCTGACCTCAGGTGATCCACCCACCTCAGCTTCCCAAAGTGTTAGGATTACAGGTGTGAGTCACTGCGCCCGGCCTGGTATTTTCAATCAGAGATATATGACATTCTCCATCTCCCCCCGAACCCACCTGCAGTTGGAAGCCACTGGTTTTGATAAGCCCTGAGCACTTTCTAAAGCCCGTTGGCCCTCTAGAGCTCTGGGGCAGCCTGGGCAAAGTCCCACCTCCTCCTGTTCTGGGCATGGCGACTCACAGGCTTGGCTCCTGGAGCTACGATGCGGGAGGTGAAATGGAAGAGAGTTATTGGGAAAATGAAGCATGGATTGAGGACTTTTCTCTGAAGCCCCAGCATCTTCTTCCACAGTTGGGGTGCAGATGCTGAAAGGACCCCAATAAACAAATTCACAAGTCATTCTAGTAGCTCCTCGTACTAACCTAGAACTTGCCACCGGCCATGAGGGCTGTCCCAGGTGGTGGTCAGATGCTTCTAAGTGAGGGAGGTGATAGACGTTTATTGAGCACTTCGTTTGAATCCAGTGGCTCATGTGTTATTTCATTTACTCGCCCAAATATTCCTGAAGGTAGATAGCAGAGGTGCAGAGAAGTAAGTAATTCCGTGGCCATCACCCCACTCCAAGCTTCCATCTCTTTTGCCTGACACCACAGTGTGCTCCCAACCAGCCCCCAGGTTCCTCCCTCCAGGACTTCCTCCACCAGCAAAGGCTTCATCAAACCACACCCGTGCTTCTCAGTGATCTTTGGAGCAAGGTTAAAATCCTTGACATCAAGCCCTGCCCCAGCGGACTCTTGCTGTCCCTGGCTGGTTCCAGGCTCTAGCCCTTACTCACTCCAGCCACACTGATGACTCCCTGTTGGTCAAACAGAGCAGCACCGGCTTCTTTCCTCCTTCCGGAATTGTGTGTGCAGCTGCCCTGCCTGGGGTGCCCCTCCACACAGATGTGCACATCATCACACATGCACACAGATGTGCTTGCATGTGTACACACATCTCTGCCTCATGCTTGTTCTTAAGGTCTCAGCTGCATTGTCGCTTTCTCAGGGAGGCCTCCTGGCCAGCTCCTTCTTCTCTAGAGTCTAGGTTAGTTCTTCCTGTTATCCCTCTCACTGCACCCTGTACTCATTCTTAACATGTACTTTGCACAACTGTCGTTCTGTAGGTATCTGCCTATCTTTCAGCTTTCACTGCCTCCCACTGGTATACAGGCTCTGGGAGGCGGGGCCGGAGTCTGGTTTATTCTCCACTCATGGCCGGTGCCTGGCACAGGGCTGAGTGTAGGCAACGTTACCCGGACGGCAAGCTCCTGAGCTGGGTTCGGACTTCCTGCCTGGAAACGCCATGAAAACACTGCCTCTATCTACACTTCCCATCAGTGCTGCAGGCTCCCCCAGGACCTCAGCACACAGAGAGGCTGCCCGGGGGTCTCTGGATGCTGACCCTGGTAGGCCATCTGTAGTCGCTAGCTACTCAGGAGGCTGAGGCAGGAGAATGGCGGGAACCCGGGAGGCGGAGCTTGCAGTGAGCTGAGATCCGGCCACAGCACTCCAGCCTGGGCGACAGAGCGAGACTCCGTCTCAAAAAAAAAAAAAAAAATTTTAATAGGCGGAGTACGGCGGCTCACGCCTGTAATCCCAGCACTTTGGGAGGCCGAGGCGGGTGGATCACTTGAGGTTAGAAGTTTGAGACCAGCCTGGCCAACATGGTGAAACCCCGTCTCTACTAATAATACAAAATTAGCCAGGCGTGGTGGCGGGCACCTGCAGTCCCAGCTACTTGAGAGGCTGAGGCAGGAGAATTGCTTGAACCTGGGAGGAGGAGGTTGCAGTGAGCTGAGATCGCGCCATTGCACTCCAGCCTGAGCAACAAGAGGGAAACTGTCGCAAAATATATATATATATATATATATGTATAAAATAATTTTTATATAATAATATATATGTATAATATGTATAATAATAATATACATATATATCATAAAGATGAGGTCTCCTTAGTTTGCCCAGGCTGGTCTTGAACTCCTGGGCTAAAGTGATCCTCCTTCCTTGGCCTCCCAAAGTACTGAGATTACATGTGTGAGCCACTGCGTCAGGCCAGCAGTCACCTTTGCCTCCTACAGATTCCCGGTGAGGCCAGCATGGGAGGTCAGTGAAGGTCATCGTGCGGGTTGGCAGCGTTGACACCGCACCCACTGAGCTCGTGCTGCCCTTTGCCGGGTGCCATCTGCAGGGCTCTCCTCTCCGCTTCCACAGCCGCTCCTCAAATGCCTCTTCAAATGCTGTGCTTGCCCGGTGGCATTCTCTGCACCCACGAGGGACCTGCCGACTCCAGCAGGCGGCCTCCTTTTGCAGGCACGAGCCAAAGGCCAAAATTCCAGTTCAGCGAAAGAAGGTCCTCCTGCGTTCGAGCTCACGGTGCCAGTCTCTTACCAGGGCCTTCAGTGTGCTCAGGTTAGCGTGTGCAGAGCCCGTACTTTCTCTTGGGACACTCCACTTGGGTAGATTTTTCTCTAAATTGGTCCTCTCCACCGTGACTGCACTGTCCAAAATGCAGGATGCTGAGCAGGGTCCCTGTCTCTACCCACTCAATGCCAGGAGCACTCCCCTCACCGGTTGTCCCCAGACACTGACAGATGTCCTGCTGGGGGCAAAATCTTCCCCAGTAGAGAATCGCTGCTCTAAGTAGGGCACTCCTGAGGACAGCACTGGGGCTCTGTGTGTCCCCGCGCAATGAGGGGCCTGCTGGCCTCTCATGGCCCCCTCTGTCTGATGCTGGAATGACAGGGAGCGGAAATGGCCCAGCCCACTACTCTTACCAGGGTCCTGGGAGTGCAGTGTGCATGGTGTAAGCTGTAGGGCTGGGACTCTGGGCTGAAGTCTCAGCTCTGCCACTCACTCCCGTTAGACTCAGCAAGTTACCCCGTCTCTCTGTCTCGCCGGCCACATCCATAATGTGCGGATTGAAGATAGTGAGATCACTCCTGGGGTGCTTGTGAAGAACAAGCACTCAGTGTAACCTGAGATTGTTTTTATCAAGGTTAACCACAGTCGACAACTCAGTTTTTCTCTTTGGGTATGAGAGGCAGCTGGCCCTGGGTCCCTCCTCAAGGAGATTATTTTATTTTATTTATTTATTTTTGAGATGGAGTTTCGCTCTTATCGCCCAGGCTGGAGTGCAATGGCATGACCTCAGCTCACTGCAGCCTCTGCCTCCCAGGTTCAAGCGATCCTCTGCCTCAGCCTCCCGAGTAGCTGGGACTACAGGCGTGCGCCATTAAGCCCAGCTGATTTTTTTGTATTTTTAGTAGAGATGGGGTTTCATCATTTTGGCCAGGCTAGTCTTGAACTTCTGACCTCAGGATCCACTCGTCTCAGCCTCCCAAAGTCCTGGGATTACAGGCGTGAGCCACCACGCCCGGCCATTTTATTTTATTTTCAAGACAGGGCCTTGCTCTGTTGCCCAGGCTGGAGAGCAGTGGTGCAATCGTGGCTCACTGTAGTCTCGAGCTCCTGGGCTCAAGTGATATTCCCACCTCAGCCTCCTGAGTAGCTGAAATTACAGGGGTGCGCCACCACACCAGGCTAATTTTTGTATTTTTTATAGAGAGGGGATTTCCCCATGTTGCCCACGCTGGTTTCAAACTCCTGGGCTTAAGTGATCCTCCCACTCTGGCCTCCCAAAGTACTGGGATTACATGTGTGAGCCACTGCACCCAGCCAAGGAGATTCTTAACGTGGGCATTTTTCTTTCTTTTTCTAAATTAGAGATGACAGTCTCACTATGCTGTCCAAGCTGGTCTCAAGTGATCCTCCTTGACTCCTGGGCTCAAGTGATCCTCCTGCCTTGGCCTCCCAAAGTGCTCAGGTTACAGGCGTGAGCCACGACACCCGACCAACACAGGCATTTTTCAAGGGCACTTTGGGTCCCTGCCAAGGTCACCTGCCGATGATGGTCAGGGCATTGTTCCTCATGCAAGACTGGCACTGAGGTGCCCTCTTGACCTCCTGATGTCTCTGGTAATGGTCACTGACTGCTCTGTTGAGCTGTGGTTTCAGGGCACCCCCAGGGCAGCCCACTTCCCACCCTGGAGTCCCCGAGAGGCCCGCGCAGCCTCTGGCCCACAGTTGACGACTGTGGGCAGGGTCAGGAATGAGCTGCCTGGGCTCCCGTTCCCGCTGTGCCCCGTCACAAGTTCTGAGACTTGAGCATGTCCCTGTACCTCTCCTGGAACCACCTGTGTAGTGTAAAAATGATAGGAGCACACAGTTCCAGAGATGTCATGAATGAATTACACGAGTTAATGTCAAAGGCTCTGGGTGCGGGATGCATCACACATACTAACTCATGGCATTGTTATGATTCATTTAATTTTACAAGAATTCGGATAACAGAAAGCATTCAGTTGCAGCAGAACAGCCAAGCTCGTCCCACCCGTCCCCTCCCATACACTTGGAGGCTCCTGTCGTGATAATGTGTCCAGATGGTCAGGGAACTGCCTGGAAAGGCATTTTCAAAGTGGACAGACTTCCCTGATTTGTAGGTGGACGAGGAGGGTCGATCATGGAGGAGAAACCCTTCCCCGCTCCCGAAGGTCTTCCTGAGGCCCTGCCATGGCCATGCAAGTCTGGTTGAGGGTCTGCAAGATTACAAACAAAAATGATTGCTGGGGAGCCTGTGAGAAGCTGAATCCCAGGCAACATCCAGGGCCAGGACTAAGGTGGCCTCGGCCTTGGGGTGGGCTCAGGACGGCTGAGACAAGGGGGCAGCCAGCTCCGGGACAAGCCCTGCCCCTTCCCTCCCTCCAAGGGGTGGCTCAGGACTCAGTGCCCAGTGAGTCAGTGGGGGCTAGTGATTTGTAGGGGTGGGAGTCAGGGCCCGATGCTCCCCACCCACCACCCAGTGCTGCTTTAAGGGGGAGCTCAGCCCCCCACTTGTGAGAGCAGGGCAATACCAAGAGGTGGGAAAGGAAGGCACACAGGAACAGCGCCGTAGTCAAAGGCTGACTTCTAGGCTAAATCTTCTTCCACTTCTTCACTCTTTCCTTCCCCCGCGGCTTCCTCTCCCTCCTCCACTGCCTGGTCTTCCTCTGGACTTGGTTGCTGCTGCAGGGGAAAGACAGCACAGAAGTGTTGGTGTTGGTGGGGGGCAGGCCTTCCCCATTCCCCTGGGATGTGAACCCCACGAGGCCCAAAGCAGCCAAATGGCTGAAGCCTGGGTCGTTGAGCACTCTGGAACCTGTGGTGCCAGCTCTGTGGCTGGCGAGGGTCCAGCCAGTGCAGAAGATGGGCAGAACTGGGGGAATCTGGCAGACTCGTGTACATGCCTGGCTTCTGCCATGTGCAGACTGGGAGGTCTCAGGCTAGCTCCTCCGAGTCTCCTTGGCTCCCTCACCCATAGAGAGGACGCGACACCTTGCAGGACTGTGGCCAGGATTAGAAATAGTGGGCATAAGGACCCAGCCTATGTAAAATGGCTTCAGGCCGGGCATGGTGGCTCAAGCCTGTAATCCCAGCACTTTGGGAGGCCGAGACAGGCGGATCACGAGGTCAGGAGATCGAGACTATCCTGGCTAACACGGTGAAACCCCGTCTCTACTAAAAAATACAAAAAAAACTAGCCAGGCGCGGTGGTGGGCGCCTGTAGTCCCAGCTACTCGGGAGACTGAGGCAGGAGAATGGCGTAAACCCAGGAGGCAGAGCTTACAGTGAGCTAAGATCCGGCCACTGCACTCTAGCCTGGGCGACAGAGCAAGACTCCGTCTCAAAAAAACCAAAAAAAACAAAAACAACAAAAAAAAAACGGCTTCAGTACCACATGGTACTTTATGACCACCAGTGTTTTGGGCCAACTGCAGACTAAGAGAGAGACAGGAAGTGTGTGGCAGGCAGGAAGAGGAAGGGGCCAAGTTCTGTGAACCTGAACCCCTTCCAAGGCTCAACTTCTTCATGTAGAATGTTCAAGCCATGGTGAGAAGCACCTTTTGGGACTTATGTCACAAAGCATGGTGCCTGCCAGCCACCATTGCATTGTAAAAGGTGGCCAGTGTCATCTTTGCTTTCCACAGGGCTGGATAGGCCAGGAGTGGTGAGTGGGAGGAGCCCTGGACAAGGCATCAGAATCCAGGATTCTAGTTTTGCCTCCACCAGAAGTGGAGGGAGCTCTCTGCCCCACCTGTATTACCCAGTGTGAGAAGAAAACATCTCATAACCAAGTACCCTCAAATGCAAAATGCACCTGTGGAAATCACAACTTTAGACCAAGGGGGAGGGAGGCAGAAGAGGAAAGAAGTCACAAGGTGGAACCAATTATCTTCTCTGTGTGCTCATGTGCCATCCTTCGCTCTGTCCACTCTATCAGGGGCCAAGAACTTGCCATACAGCTCTTCTTGCAAGCAGGCGTCATGGGTGGGTGCTCTGTGCAAATACACTGGACCCTATCTCAGTAGGGCCCACACTTAGTTTAATGCTCTAGTGTCACCATTTTAAAATTCTTAGTACTTTTTAAATGAGGGCCCTCACATTTTCATTTTGCAGTGCCCCCAATCCCCAAGTCTGCAGCCAGTCTTGCCTATAAGGGTAAATCCTGGCATATACCCACTGTTTCTTTTCCTTTCCACGCTGCTCTTTGGTTCTTTCATACCTTGGCATCTTATCTGTGGTGCCTAAAGGAGGTGACCCAGACAGACAATGTCTTTTCTTCCTCTCTCTGCTGGTACAAAAGAGGGCCTGGAAGGTGACTAGACACCATCTTTATAGCAACATCTCCTCATTTTGCAGATGGAAATGAAGGAAGCAAGAAGTGAAGTGACCAGCTCACATGATACAGCTAGAAAGTGCTTTAGAGCTGGGGCCATGGGCAGATGAGCTGACCACAGGTCACACTCCTGACACCAAATCTGGGTAAGCCAGCATGATGTGCACACCGCTAATGTCACAGCCCTTCCCTCCAGGGGTCTCAAGGTCCATTCCTCTCTGACAGCTCACTTACCTCTAGGACCCTTGTTCAGTCACTCAACACACATGTTCCCTCCTTCAGTCACTCAACACGCATGTTCAAGATGTGCCCTCTCTGGGAGGAAGGGAGGGAGGATACCAGGAGGCATGGAGTATGGTTCCTGCCTGTTGGGAGCCTGAAGTCTGTTTGGAGACTTAAGATTCTTTGGAAGGAAAGGAATGATTCTTCCCATTCGCCAGGTGAATAAATTAAGGTCCAGCAGGTAAGGCTACTTGCTCGAGGTCACCCAGGAAGTCAGCAAGCAGAAGCAGAACCCAAGTGCCATGTCTCCCGCCCAGTCCCCAACCCACCCAACCCCTGTCCAGGCCCCTACAGGCATTGGCGTCAGCTTTATGGCGTCTGCCTCCTTCTTCTTCAGCTCTGCGAAGATGATGTCGAAGAACTCCTCCTCAGCCTTGCTGACCAGCGCCTCCAGGTCTATGTCCAGATCCTCGTCCGTCTGCTCCTCGTCCCTGCCCTCCGCCTTGCCCTTCTCCTTCAGCCGCATCTCCCGGTGCCTGGCCTCCAGGATCTTCTCTCGCCGGGTCTCACGCTCAAACATCTGCATACATAGGGACAGAGAGAGCCGGGTGGGGAGAGGGCGGGACGGCAAGCGACTCCAGTGCAGGGGCCAGGTGGGGCTTCTGCTGAGCCTCCTCGCTCTCCATACAGTCCCTGTACTGTAGAGGTCTGTACCCAGGGCTGGTGTCAAGGAAGGAGGGCTGAATATTGGGGTTGGAAGGCTGCAGCAGGGACGCTGAGTTACTCAATGCCAAGGAGCGTGGAGTTGCAGGACCATAGACGGAAGAGCACCCTTTGGGGCTATGAAATATGGCAGACTTGGCCCAACAAGGACCAGCTCAATAGTGAGATCCCAGTCTCAGGCAGAGCCAGGAGGCTATCCCAGCCTCAGCACAGGGGTTTTCCTTTTTTGTTTTGTTTTGTTTTGTTTTTGGGAGGGAGTTTCACTCTTGTTGCCCATGCTGGAGTGCAATGGCGTGATCTCAGCTCACTGCAACCTCCGCCTCCTGGTTCAAGCAATTCTCCTGCATCAGCCTCCAGAGTAGCTGGGATTACAGGCATGCGCCACCACACCCAGCTAATTTTGTATTTTCAGTAGAGACGAGGTTTCTCCATGTTGGTCAGGCTGGTCTCGAACTCCCGACCTCAGGTGATCCGCCCACCTCGGCCTCCCAAAGTGCCGGGATTACAGGCGTGAGCCACTGTACCTGGCCCCAGCACTAGGGGTTTTCAATTCCACAGTGTTCCCCATGGTTCTGGGGAGTTGCCTACAGGGCTGCTCACTAGGGAAAGGATGTAGGAATGGATCTCAGTCCCCTTCTTCAAGCCCCCTTCCATCTGGCTTCTCTATTGGCATTCCACTAAGCCTTCAGGCCAGGCGCAGTGGCTCACACCTGTAATCCCAGCAGTTTGGGAGGCTGAGGTGGGAAGATTGCTTGAGCCCTGGAGTTTGAGAATAGCCCGGGCAACATAGGGAGACCCTGTCTCTACAAAAATTAAAAAATGAGCCAGGCATGGTGGTACATGCCTGTGGTCCCAGCTACTAGGTAGGCTGAGGCGGGAGGACCAATTCAGCCTGGGGGGTGGAGGCTTGAGTGGGCCATGATTGTGCCACTGCACTCCAGCCTGGGCAACAAAGCAAGACCCTGTCTCAAAATAAAATAAAACAAATAGATACAATAAAAGTAAAATAAAATAAAATAATTAGGTCAGCCACGGTGGCTAATGCCTGTAATCCCAGCAAAATTTTGGAGGCCAAGGTGGTCAGATCATCTTGAGGCCAGGAGTTCAAGAACAGCCTGGCCAACATGGTGAGACCCTGTCGCTACTAAAAACACAAAAATTAGCTGGGAGTGGTGGTGTGCACCTGTGATCCCAGCTACTCAGGAGGCAGAGGCAGAGGAATCCGTTGAACCTGAGAAGCAGAGATTGCAGGGAGCCGAGATCTCACCATTGCACTACAGCCTGAGCAACAGAGCATGACTTCGTCTCAAAAATAAATAAATAAAAATAATTAAATTAAATTAAAATACAATATAATACAATAAAATACTAAGCCTTCATTTGAAAGGTTCTACCAAAAAAAAAAAAAAAAAAGGGTTATTTGAAACTAGACAAACTGACCAAGTCAAACCTCTTTGATTTACAGGTAAAAAAACTGAATCCTGGAGAGTGAAGTGACTTACTGAAGCCCACTTAGCTGCCCAGCAGTTGAGCAAGGGCAAATGGACATGCCAACACCTATTTATGGAGCCCATGTCAGCACACTGCACTGCCTCCCCAGAAATGGGCACCCATGTCCTAGGGGGTGGGAGGGAGGGGCCATCTATTTTTCTGACTAGCCTGCTTTGCGGTGGGGCCAGGTCGGGACGTGCTGGAGGGGTTCTCCCCAGGCATGCGGTGCTTACGGAAGAGGCTACGTTCTTCTCATTCCTCTGGAGGGTAGAGAGCCCAGGCGAGACCTCCAGCAGGGTGGTTGTCCCCAGCTGGGATCCGCAGGCAATGAAACACCCATTGTCCTGCACCCGGAGGCAGAAGAGGGCCTCGTCACACACCTGTTGAAGGGGCCGGGCAGACCCAGGTAGAGGAGAGAGAAGCAAAGTTACATGTGTCTGATTAATTGGCCCCTGGGGAGGCTCAGCCACTTGGCTCTGTTCAAACACCCTCAGGGACGCTTCTGCCCCACAGGATGAAGTTCAAACTCGGAGACTGGCTGTCAAGGTCCCTGGCTTCCCTGCCTCATCTCCCGCCCCACCCCTTCACTTCTGCCTTACAGTCACCCTGTGGTTCCCCAACGCCCCCACCCTTCCGTGGCCCCAGCCAGCAGGGCTCCGCTCTGGCCGCCCTGACATGAAGGGGAAGGTCCAGCAGCCAACCCCCAGGGGCTCTGAAGGAATCAGCCTGTGGGCAGGAGACGCCAGGTACCTGCTTTTGTTTCTTTTTAAATTTCCCCCAGGTGGTTTTGTTGTGCCACCAGGGTGCCAAGTCCCCCAGGCCCCTTAACCTTTGTAGGAGCCCGCACTCCAAAGCAATCTCTGCAGTCAACCTGCACACGGCTCCCCCACAGAGGCCCAAACGCACCTGGCCACACACTGCACACGTGCTCACAGTACCCCACACTCACACCCGCGCGAGGGCCTGGCTCCCTGAGGACCGGGATGCACAGGGAGGGATATGCGCGTGACCTTCAGGCTGAGGGCGGGGTCGCACTGCTTGAACACAAAGTCCCAGATGTCCAGGGTTCCGTCCATCTTGGTGGTAAAGAAAACGGCCGGCCTTATGGGGCTCCAGGCGGCATCAGTGAGGTAAGCCATGTGGTACCTGTGGGAGGTAGCCCACATCACGGTTGGAGGGACAGAGGTTTCTGAGCCACAGCTCGGCTCATTTGGTCCCTTCTGGGCTCCAGGGTATCAGAGTCTTGCTAGGCAGGAAGTTCTTCCTTGTGTCTGACTTCTAGCTGTGCTGACCTCACTCACCCACAGCTCACAGGTTGCCTTTTTTTTTTTGAGATGGAGTCTTGCTCTGTTGCTCAGGCTGGAGTGCAGTGGTGCGATCTCGGCTCACTGCAACCTCCGCCTCCTGGGTTCAAGCCATTCTCCCGTCTCAGCCTCCTGAGTAACTGGGATTACAGGTGCCCGTCACCACACCCAGCTAATTTTTTTATTTTTACAAGAGATAGGGGTTTCACCATGTTGGCCACGCTGGTCTCGAACTCCTGACCTCAGGTGTCTGACAGGCTGCTCTTTAAAGCGTTCTGGGCTGGTCATGTGCAGTGACTCATGCCTGTAATCCCAGCACTTTGGGAGGCCAAGGCAGGAAGATCGCTTGAAGACAGGATTTTGAGACCAGCTTGGGCAACATGGTAAGACCCTGTCTCTACAAAAAATAAAAAAATTAGCCGGGTGTGGTGGCAAGCACCTGTGGTCCCAGCTCCTCGGGAGGCTGAAATGGGAGAATCGCTTGAGCCCAGGAAGTCGCGGCTGCAGTGAGCCGTGTTTCTGCCACTGTACTCCAGCCTGGGCAACAAAGTGAGACCCCATCTCAAATAAAATAAATAAAGGGCTCTGAGCACAGTCCTTCCTGTGGGCTGGCCGCTGGCATTTCTCTGCTGCTAACTCCAGGCTGCAGGCACGTGTTGCTGTACCTGGTCCCAGCGCTGGGACTCATGGATGGGAGTCAGAGGAAGGACATACCCAGAAAAGCTGTTACTACTGAGATGAGGAGAATGGCATTTCCTACTTTGTTTCATGTGGATTTTCAAGAATTTCTTCAGTGAAAATTGAACATTTTTTTAAAAAGAGACACACACACGTGCACACACAGTGGAGCCTTCAGATTTTCACCCAGACCTCTTCTCCCTTCCTGCATTGCAATATAGTTGTAGCTGGGCCCCTGGTGGGCAAGGCAGAGACTACATTTCCCAGTCACCTTTGCAGCTGAGTGTGTTGACCGGTAGGCCACAGTGGGAGAAATGATCAAGACGAAAGAAAGGATCTGGGCTGGGCGTGGTGGCTCATGCCTGTAATCCCAGCACTTTGGAAGGTTGAGGACAGTGGATCACCTGAGGTCAGGAGTTCGAGATCAGCCTGGCCAACATGGTGGAACCCCACTTCTACTGAAAATACAAAAATTATCCAGGGGTGGTGGTGGGGGCCTGTGATCCCAGACACTCAGGAGGCTGAGGCAGGAGAATTGCTTGAACCCAGGAGGTGAAGGCTGCAGTGAGCCAAGATCGTGCCACTGCTCTCCAGCCTGGGCAACAAAGATACTTCACTTAAAAAACAACAACAACAAAAAACACTGGAGATTTTTGGACAAACAATGAATAAGTTTTAGTATAAGTATATACCAAATATTGCATGGGACATACTTATACTAAAAAAAAAATTAGTTTTTTTTTTAAAATTCAGATTTAACTAAGTGACAACTATTCTTTTTTTTTTTTTTTTGAGATGGAGTCGCACTCTGTCACCCAAGCTGGAGTGCAGTGGTGTGATCTCGGCTGGTCTTGAATTCTTGACCTCAGGTGATCCACCCGCCTCGGCCTCCCAAAGTGCTGGGATTACAGGCATGAGCCATCCTTCCCAGCCCTCTTTTTTTTTTTTTTTTTTTAAAGACTGAGTCTTACTCTGTCCCCAGGCTGGAGTGCAGTGGCATGATCTCAGTTCACTGCAACCTCCAATTCCTAGGTTCAAGCGATTCTCCTGCCTCAGCCTCCTAAGTATCTGGGATTACAGGCATGCACCACCAAGCCCAGATAAATTTTTGTATTTTTATTAGAAACGGGGTTTCGCCATATTGGCCAGGCTCATCTTGAACTCCTGACCTCAAGTGATCCCCCCGCTTCAGCCTCCCAAAGTGCTGGGATTACAAGCATGAGCCCACCGCACCTGGCCCAATGCCAAATACTCTTATTTGTCTAACCCTATGCAGGAGGAGGACAAGGGAGACCCAGGTTCTAGGACACAGGTCCATCAAGTCCCTCTAGGAACCAGCCCTGCAAAAGGCCTAAGGGTGCTGTGCTTGACACCCTGCCCTCACTGTTCCTTTCACACAGCCCTGGCAGCCTGCAGGACCTGAAGACATTGGCAAGGCTCCTAAAGCCTGTGAAGGGCTTCATGTCTACTGGGAACCCCCTACTTGCTATGAGGCCTGGAACTGTGGGGAAAAGAAAGAGAGATCAGACTGTTACTGTGTCTACACAGAAAGAAGGTAGACATAAAGACTCATTTTGTCTGTATTTGAGATGCCTGTTATCTCTGACCCTACCAGAAAACCCACTTGCCTTTGCAAGAGACCATGGTGCTGTGTGTGACTCCAAGGTATTAAAGGAATTTTGGGCTGTGCAGGGTTGCTTTGTTAAACAAGTGCCCTGAAGGCGTATGCTTGTGACAAAGGTCTCACATTCCTCTTATCTCAATGTACCTGCAGGGATCACATAACACCTGCCAATAGGTCACAGTGGACCTCTGCCCTAGGAAGCTAGGTATTGTGCCAAGGTTTCTCCCCCATGTGATAGCGCAAATTATGGCCTCAATGGGAAGGGAAAGACCCTTAATCGTCCGCCCAGCCTGACAACTCCGTGGAACGGGTCTGGTGCATGAGGAGGCGGATTAATATACAGAAGGAAAGCAGGCCTCTTGGCAGCTTGAGATAGAGAAAAGGCATCGTCTCTTGCCTATCCTGGGCAATGGAACCATCTCTCAGTGTAAAACTGCCGATTGAATGTTCTATTTACTAGAAGAATGGGAGAAAGGAGAAACGCCCTAGGGCGAAGGTGGGATCTGCTAGCATGCTGACTCCTTTATGCACATAAAAAAGGTTTATGGGGATGGTGCATATCATATCAACGGCACAGCACTTTTCCTTAAACTTATTCAGGGCACAGAGATCTTTATTCCATAGTCCTTACTGCTGACCTTCTCCCTCGATGATCCTATGCATCCTGCCACTTCCTTCTTTCTAAGATGGTAAGATAATGATCAATAGATACTGAGGGAAATCCAGAGACCGGTGCAGATGGTCCTCTGTATGCTGATGCACCGGTCTCACTGGTGCCACTTTTTCTTTCCTACTACCTTTGTCTCTGTGTCTCATTTCTTTTCTCAAGTCCTCTCGTTCCTAACCTGACGAGAAACGCCCAACAGGATGGTGGAGGGGGAGGCCACCCTTCGGAACAATGCGCTGCCTTCTCGAGCCAGCGTTCTCCCTCTGTAGAATGACATCGAACATGTATTTCTGCTTCCCAAGCAAGGACTGGCTGAGTTCACAAGTCCGGGGAGCTACCTCACAGCCCATTCCTAGGCTAGCCTAAGACTTCTTTAGTACCCCAGGGTTAGGGCTGGGAATCTGATTTTAAAAAAATCACTCCTTCAGCAAGGCACAGGTGGCTCATGCCTGTAATCCCAGCACTTTGGGAGGCCGAGGCAGGTGGATCACCTGAGGTCAGGAGTTCGAGACCCGCCTGGCCAACATGGTGAAACTCTGTCTCTACTAAAAATACAAAAATTAGCTGGGCGTGCTGGCGTGCGCCTGTAGTCCCAGCTACACGGGAAGATGAGGCAGGAGAATCGCTTGAACTCGGGAGGCGGAGGTTGCAGTGAGCCAAGATCGTGCCATTGCACTCCAGCCTGGGGGACACAGCAAGACTCAAAATAAACAAACAAACAAACAAACAAACAAACAAAAACTCCTCCCAGGAGATTCTGATGCAAACAGATGTGGGAAGCACTGGAACCAAAGATGCTCATTAGGGTTGATGGTGGCACTGACATTACAGGAGTCTGTGGCTCTGTGGGCAGGAAAGGAGCCCCAGGATGTTTTTTGTTTAGCAAGAGAAAAAAGCAATTTATTTATACATCAATGGACAATACCCACAGGAGCACCCGGCAGTGAGTGACTCAAGGGGGTGGTTAGAATTCGGGCTTATTACCTAACTTAGGAGATGAAGAGGAGGAGGAAAAAGGGCACTTTTAGGCAAGGTACATGGGCCCTAAGAAAAACGGAGGGGGATGTGATAGTCCAAGCTTCTCTGGTCTAACCACTGTGCTCACAGCTATCTCAAGCTCCTTGTCTGTTGCTCCCCTCAGAGGAGTGGGCACTGAGCAAGACAGGCTATGCCGCATTGCTGAATCGTACCAAGGCACCCACATTTCCCAGCCAAGCTTCCTGGGTTCACACCCCAGCTCGGCTCCTCACTAGCTGGGAGAGCAGGAGCGAGTGGCTTGGCCTTTCTGTAGCCCATTTCCCTGACATGAAAAATGAGATGAGGGGAAGAGCAATGCTGCCTCCTCCTAGGGGTATTTTGAGGATTATGAAAATTAAGCCAGCCAGGCGCAGTGGCTTATGCCTGTAATCACAACACTTTGGGAGGCCGAGGTGGGCAGATCACCTGAGGTCAGGAGTTCAAGACCAGCCTGGCCAATGTGGTGAAACCCCATCTCGACTATAAATACAAAAATGAGCTGGGCATGGTGGCAGGTGCTTGTAGTCTCAGCTACTTGGGAGGCTGAGGCAGGAGAGTCACTTGAACCTGGGAGGTGGAGGTTGCAGTGAGCCGAGATCATGCCACTGCATTCAGTCTGGGGAATTAAGCAAGACTGTGTCTGAAAAAATAAAAAAAAAAAAAGGAAAGAAAATTAAGCCATGGCCATTATTTTTAGCAGCTGGGTGGTTTGAAGCCTGTCGCTTTGTGGAGTGGCTGGAGCAAGTCACTTGCTAACACGAGTTTGGGTGTTTGTGGAAGGCTTTTTTCTCCATTTTACATATGGAGGCTCAGGACTCTCCCGGGCCCAGCTGGGCTCCCTCCATCCCCTCCTGTCCTCTGCATCCCCTCCCGTCCCCAGCATTGCCTCTTACTTGGTCCACATGATGCACGATTCCCGGCTGTCTTCAGACCAGATGCGGGCTGTCCAGTCACCAACTGTCAGGAAGTTCTTCGGGTAAAAGGGGTTTCTCTGGAGGGCGTAGATGGGGCCATGATGGCCCGGGAAGGTGCACACGATCTTCTCAGCTGATGTCTTGGCCTTGCGGTTGCAGGAGATGATGATGCCCTGCTCAGTCCCCACCATGAACTTCGTGGGCTGTGAAAGGAGTGACACGGGAGGGGAAGGCTCCATGAACCATCAACTTGGATTAGCGGGCATGGACAGGAGCCCGCTACTTGGGGGGTCTGCAGGCCCTAGAAAGGCCCTCAGATCAAGCCTTGGCAAGGGCTGTGGCCCCTCCTGGAGAGCTGTCCCCACTCTTCCCGGGCTCCTCAGACCCCACCTTTCTGGAAGTTGCTCAAGGAGCCTGTGCTGAATGAAGTCCTCCCTGGCTCCTCCAGTCCTGGAGGGTCACCACTAGCCCCTTCTGCAGAGCATCACTGTGTCCTCGAAGCATTTGGCCATCAAGATCCTGAATGCTTGTTTACAGAGAGAGTAAAGCAGACCCAGGGAGGGGAGCCAGGGTGGTCCACCCAGATCACTCACAGGATGGGCAGAGCCTTCCCTGGCAGGACAGTGACATTTGTCGTAGCATTGTCCAGGCTGGTGTCCCTGAGAACTCAGAGCGGGTGACCAACCAGCACTCAGGAAGCCACCTGGCAGTCAGTGATGTAATTCGTCCCCCTACTGCTGGTGGGTGAGCTCTTTGAGGGGCGCAAGCTTGTCTGACATGGGTCCATCGCCCACGAACTGAGCTTTAGTAGTTACTCACTTTACTGCGGACTGAATGCACAAAGGCCAGTCTCCTGACTCCTGACCCAGTGCTCCCTCTGCATCTCTGAGCATGACCCCCTCCGTCGTGCAATGCCCTGCCTTGTTGACTGTTCCATGTCTTCACTTCCGGGCTAGACTGGACAACCTCCACCAGCAGGGCCTGAGCCTACAATGGCGCTGTGTCCTCAGCATTCCAAATGGAAAGAACAGCTGAGTGAGGCAGGGGAGGGGCACGCTGAGGGGAGGGACTTTGTCAACGGGCTCAGATGTCCTCTGCCGGTGGCGAACCTGCCCCCGTAGAGCTCCCACGTTTTAGGAGAAGGTTGCAGTGAGCCAAGATCATGCCACTGCACTCCAGCCTGACCTACAGAGCAAGACTCCACCTCAAAAAAAAAAAAGAAGAAAGAAAGAAAAAAGAAAAAAATGAAAAAGAACTCCTAGTTTATTTATTTATTAAGACAGGATCTGGCTCCATTGCCCAGGATGGAGTGCAGTGGTACGATCTCGGCTCATTGCATCCTTGACCTTCTGGGCTCAAGCAATACTCCCACCTCAGCCTCCCACGTGGCTGGGACCACAAGCACACACCACCAGGGTCAGCTAATTTTTGTATTTTGTAGAGACAGAGTCTCCCTATGTTGTCCAGACTGGTCTCAAACTCCTAAGCTCAAGCAATCTGCACACCCCGGCTTCCCAAAGTGCTGGGATTACAGAGCTGAGCCACTGCACCTGGCGTCCCCCCCAGGTTTTTTATTTTTATTTTTTAAAAAACGTATTGTTTTAGTGTGCATTTTCTTCTACCAGAAAATTACTAAAATGATAAACATAAAATCTCTAGAAAATACCCAGAATATGGCCAGGTGTGGTGGCTGAGGCATGAAAATCACTTGAACCCGGGAGGCAGAGGTTGCAGTGAGCCAAGATCATGTCACTGCACTCCAGCCTGGGCAACAGAGTGAGACTCTGTCTCAAAAAAAAAAAAGAAGAAAAAAAAAAAAATTAGACTGGAGTGGTGGCATGTGCCTGTGGTCCCAGCTACTCAAGAGGCTAAGGCTTGAGCCCAGAAGGTAGATGTTGCAGTAAGCTGAGATCACACAACTGCACTCCAGCATGGGCAACAGAACGAAACCATGTCTCAACAAAACAAAACAAAAATCTGGGCTTCAAGTTGGGTGTCAAGGGCAAGTGAAAAGACCAAGTTTGAGAGGTCCAGAGAAGAAAGTATTCAAGCCGACTACGCACTGCCCATCAGTGAGCCGAGGAGAAAGGCCACCCAGATCCGAGTGGCCCATCGTGCCTCTGGCCTCAGACTTCGTGGCGGGCTGCGGGTGGACACCCTGGGCCTTAGAGTTGGAACCCTGGGTTTGAGTCCCGGCTTTACCAGGTACTAGGACTCACAACGTAATCTCACGAAGACTCATTGTGTGTATCTGGCAAGTATGGATAAAAACTTTACCCCATGAAATGGTTATAGGCGATTGCACGAGCTTATGAAATCAGGCAGCCACAAGTGTTCAGCACACCATGTGCACCCTGCAAGGGCCAGACATGGAGGAGATGGCCCTAGTTGTGATGTGGTTGTATGTCTAGCACTTGGCCTAGAAAGCCTTGCCTCTGGGACAGAATGTTCTCCTGAGTCCTTGCCACCCCAACCTCCATGCCCAGTGCCTTGTCCTCTGGGGAGGGGTCAGTGGACTTGTCTCCTCATCCCACCAACATTCATCTCTCAGCCTTGAGCTAGGGTTGCCCAGGCAGGTTCGAGGCCAGAGCCTCCCAAAGCCCTAGGAATGATGGCACATGATCCCGAAGCAAACAAGTGACACCTCCAAGGGGGAACCAGGCCTGGGCTGCACTGAGACATAAACCAAGACTCAGCCCAAGCCAAAAACCAACAACAAGGGAAAGGTATCTTCTTACTCTAGTGAGGAAGTCTTCCTTTACTGCTTCTAGAAGCTTCCCTCCTCTAACACATTTGCATTATGCTCAAACTTTGATATTTCCTGTTTTTCTTTTATTTTCTTTGTTTTTTTGAGATGGAGTTTCACTCTTGTCGCCCAGGCTAGAGTGCAATGGGACGATCTTGGCTCACCGCAACCTCCGCCTCCCAGGTTCAAGTGATTCTCCTGCCTCAGCCCCCTGAGTAGCTGGGATTACAGGCATGCACCTCCATGCCCAGCTAATTTTGTATTTTGAGTAGAGATGGGGTTTTTCCATATTGGTCAGACTGGTCTTGAACTCCCAACCTCAGTTGATCCACCCACCTTGGCCTCTCAAAGTGCCAGGATTACAGGTGTGAGCCACCGTGCCCGGCCCTTTTTTTCTTTTCTTATGTAGGGATAGGGTCTTGCTATGTTGCCCAGGCTGGTCTTGAACTCCTGGGCTCAAGTGATCCTCCCACCTCCCAAAGTGCTGGGATTACAGGTGTGAGCCACTGTGCCTGGCCTCACATTGATACTTTTCTTCCTTTCTTTTTCTTTCTTTCCTTCCTTCCTTCCTTCCTTTTTCTTTCCTTTTTTTTCCTCTCTCTCCCTCTCTTTCTTGCTTTCTTTTTTGGTAAAGATTTGGGGGGTCTTACTATGTACCCAGGCTGGTCTTGAATTCTTGGCCTCCCAAAGTGCTGGGATTACAGACGTGAGCCACCCTGCCCAGCCTGAACTTTGATATTTCTTTGTCATTCTTTCTCAGTTACTGAACACCGAGACCATGCATGTGCTCTGGTTTTCCAAGGAGCCTGGTCTGACCTCATTTCCCCAGAGGAAGGCAGGTGACCAGCCTAGGGCCCCAGTGCCAGGCAGGGCCAGGACCTGGGTTGGAGTCTAGACCTCCCTATGTTGGTCCTGGGCGTGACCTTCCCCAGGAAACAGGGCTTTTCTGGAATTGTCCTGTCAAAAGATTGCCCTCTGTGTTCAGCTGGGCCACGGGCCAAAAGATGACTTGGTGCCACGACAACGGTGTCCTTCTTCGAGAAGCTCTGCTGCCCCCTGCTGGAAAGTTGTTGTAAAGGCCACACACGTCTAGGATGGGGGCAGTGAGGTTGGCCTCCCTGGGCTGGTGCTGGGTTCCACAAGCACCTGATATCCTAGCAATGGCCTGTCTTTAGCCCTGGCTGCCCTGGCAATGCAAGTCAGGGAAGGGACAGCAAGGGACACTCACCAAAGTAGATTCGAACTCCAGGGAGATGGCCCCCAAGGCATTTTCCAACTGCTCCTTTTTGGTGATGTCCATGATCACAACCTCAGTGGGCTCACTCATCTTTCGGATGTCCCACCACATGACCTGGCAGGAGGTGGGACGACAGTGAGACTTCGAGGCCCTGTATTTCCCCTGGCTTTTGCCTTTTCCACCCTCACCCCACCTTCCTGGGGTCAGCCACTGGGCCACAAAAGATGGAGCTCCCAGCAATTCGTGGGAGCAAATACACTTTGAAGATTGCTGCTCTGTCCACAGTTCCCACACCTGGCTGATCATCAGAGTCACCGACAAGCTTCATACAACCCAGATGCTGAGGCCTTGCCCTCGACCTACTGAATCAAAACCTCCAGGTGCAAGGCCAAGAATCCGTGTATGCCAACACTCCCCTCAATAAGGCGATATCCAGCAATGTTAAAAATGCATGTGTGCAGGCCAGGCGGTGTTGGCTACGCCCTGTAATCCCAGACACTTCTGACGAGGCCGAGGTGGCGGATTCACGAGGTTCCATGGAGAGATCAAGATATCCTAGTACTCAACATGGTGAAACCCCTGCTCTTACTAAAAAAAATTAATAATAATTACAAAGTTAGTCAGGCGTGGGTGGTGGCGGCCTCGTAGTTCCCAATAGTCGGGAGGCTGAGGCAGGAGAATGGCATGAACCCAGGAGGCGGAGCTTGCAGTGAGCCAAGATGGCGCCACTGTACTTTCAGCTGGGGGGACAGGGGCAAATGACGTCCACTCTCAGAAGAAAAAAAAAAAAAAAAAAAAGCATGTGTGCTCTGACCTAGAAGTCCCACTGCCAGCAATGTCTGCTGTAGATGTATCCCTGCATGTGTGCAATAATCTGTGTATAAAGATGCTCTTTGCTACATTTTTTGGGGGGTAGCAACAAAATATTAGAATCCATATATAAATTATGGTACACCCACAGGATGCAATTATTAACAGGCAGGGGGCGGCGGTGTATGAAACATGAAACTATCTCCAAGGTATACACAATGAAAAACATCAAGTACAGACTAGTGTGTAAAGTGTGCAAAAATAAAGAGTGAAGAAGAGAGATATGTGTTTCCTTGCATGTGCAGAGACTAGCTCCGAAGGCAGACATAGGAGAGGGAGGGAGAGGAGGAAGTGCAGGCAGAGGTGAGAGGAAGGCATTTTCTTTTTTGCACTCTTTAGATTCTATTCCGAGGGCATGTATTATCACTACTCAATTTAAAAATAAAGTGCATGGCCGGGCGCGGTGGCTCATGCCTGTAATCCCAGCACTCTGGGAGGCCGAGGTGGGTGGATCACCTGAGGTCAGAGTTCAAGACCAGCCTGGTCAACATAGTGAGGCACCATTTCTGCTAAAAATAAAAAATTAGCCAGGCATGGTGGCAGGCGTCTGTAGTCCCAGCTACTCGGGAGGCTGAGGCAGGAGAATTGCTTGAACCCAGGAGGCGGAGGTTGCAGTGAACCGAGATTGCACCATTGCACTCCAGCCTGGGCAACAAGAGTGAAACTCCATCTCAAAATAAAATGTGTTAAAGGAAATGTCCCCAGGGATTCTGATGGGGAACCAGAGACCAGTTACTGCCTCTCCCTTCCCTCCCCTCCTCAGTGTCTGGCTGGTGGGTACCTGCCCATCCGTGGATGCTGAGAAGCACTCGGTGCCCGTCTTCGACTGCAGCCAGATGGTGCCATACACAGGGTCTCGGTGGCTGAACTCAATGGTGGATAGCTCCGCCACCAGGCTGCCCTTTCGGGTGTCCCAGCAGGCTGGTGAGGAAGGAGATGAAGAAGGAGTGGAGGGGGGCACAGGCTTCCTTCCTTGGGGCAGGGAGCAGGGGAGAGAGCGGGGCTGCTGCTTCTGGTTTGGCAGATACGTGGTGTTTTAGAATCACGGCTTGGTTCCAATCAGCCTGAGTTTCCTACCAGCCCCCACAGACTCTCTGGAGAGACTCCCGGAGTGCAAGCTTCATTCAGTTCCTTGAGCCCCTGCCTACCCAACACTCGGCCCTGGGAAAGCCTCTGGGGATAGCATAGCCATAGTGGCAGGGGAACACATGAGGGTGGTCAGGGAAGGCCTCCTGGAGGAAGTGACAGGTAGCTGAGATGGAAGATGAGCCTCAAGGTGGAGGGAGCCAGGCGGGAGGAAAGCCGAGTCCCTACCGCAGGGAAGAGCACGTGGAAGGGCCCCATGTAGGTGACTCTCTCTGCTGCATTAGCTCTTCCCCTTTTATCCTTTATACCTCTGCTGCCTCTGCTGGAAAGAAACTCACAGAGGAGCTTCAGCCTTTACTGTGATCTGTTATTAGTGCTTTGCCAAGAAAGACGGGAAGGTTATCTGTCCTCTGTCCTGTTAGATTTCATTTCCATTTTCCCATGAATGCACAATGAGGGCTCACCCTGTCACTCAGAGCTGTTTCTAGGAAAGGCCGTTTTGTAAAATAACAAAAGTACTTAGTTCATAAGCTTTGACTTAGTATTTCTCCAAGTCCAAGGCATTTGCCCCTGAACTAAGCTGGCCCAGAAACATGTTTCCTTAGATAAGCCTGCTCAGCCAAGTACAGTGGCTCATGCCTGTAATCCTAGTACATTAGGAGGCTGAGGCAAAAGGATTGCTTGAGCCCAGGAATCCAATACCAGCTTGGGCAACATAGTGAGATCCCGTCTCTACAAAAAATTTAAAAACTAGCTGGGCATGGTGGCACTCGCCTGTAGTTCCCGCTACTCGGGAGGCTGAGGTGGGAGAATTGCTTGAGCCTGGGAGGTTGAGGCTGCAGTGAGCCATGATCGTGCCACTGCACTCCAGCCTGGGTGACAGAGCAAGACCCTGTCTCAAAAAATAAAAATAAGCCAGGTGTGGTGGCTCACACCTGTAATCCCAGCACTTTGGGAGGTTGAGGCGGGTGGATCACTTGACGTCAGGAGTTCAAGACCAGCCTGGCCAACATAGTGAAACCCCATCTCTACTAAAAATAAAAAAAAATTAGCTGGGCATGGTGGTGGGCACTTATAATCCCAGTTTCTCAGGAGGCTGAGGCATGAGAATCGCTCGCGCCTGGGAGGTGGAGGTTGCAGTGAGCTGAGATCACATCACTGCACCCTCTGTTGCAACAAGCAAGCTGTCTCAAAAACAAAACCAAAAACCATAAAAAATAATAAAAATAAAAAGATCAGCCTGCTCTGCTTTTGGCAAAAAGCAGTGGCTCAAGGGTGAGGTCCCACTGGGTTCCTACATGGTCCTACGGGCTCTGGAGGCAAGTCTGGACGCGCGCTCTCGGAACGCCCCACGGAAGAACGTTATGAATAATGAGTGGGCAAGCGCTTCCTGACGCCTCCCGCTTTCGCGCTCGTTACGCGCTCTTGGCACCCAGATAACTTGGCGGACGCTAACTGGGAGCCAGCTTCTATTCCATTAATCCGAAAGCTTCCCTTCGCACCGGGCCGAGCAGGTTCTGAGCCGTGAGATCCGGTCGCTCAAGCGCGCGGCGCGCATCCTGCTCTCCAAACAGAAGAGCAAAAAAGTATCCAACAGAGGGCCAAGGCCGCGGTGCTTCACCGCCTGTAATCCAGCACTCTTGGGAGGTCACCATGGACCACCGCCTCCACAGCAACATCCCGGGCGCGGGCGGCACTCGCGGGCGGGCTGAGGCAACCGCGGAGCCTTGCGCAGCTCGACATCTGCCACCAGCTGGGTGACCAGAAGGCAAGGAATTCTGGGTCAAAAAAAACGAACATACGCGGGGCTCATGCCGGGTCAAGACCGCCTGGTGTAGTCCCTGCGGGTTTGGCCCTGAATTGACCCACGGGGCATGGAACAGCAGGCGTTCGACATTCAGAGCCAATCATTAAGGTTGACTTTCTGAGCACTATGAGATTACAAAAAAGCAAGTTTGGGGCGGGTCAGTCGGGCCTCATCTGGCCCGCGGGTCCGCGCGTGGGGTCAAACTTGAGGGCCAAGGAGTTGAGACCACCCTGGCAACATGGCAAACCCGTTTCTATTAAAAATAACAAAATTGACCCCAGCGTGTCCGGCCTGCACCAGCCCTGTGAGGAGGCTGAGGCAGGAGGAGATGCTCATTGAACCAGGCGGCGGGAGATGCAGTGAGCGCTGAGATCGCATCCCGTAGTCCAGCCTGGGTGACAGCAAGCCGAGTTTTGTCTCAATAAAAAAAAAAAAAAAAAAAAAAAAAAGGCTCGGCGCCGCAGTGGTCCTCTGCCTGTAATCCGCCTTTGGGAAGGCAGTAGGGGCGCAGATCAGAGGGTCAGGGGTAGAACCAGATAGCGTGGCTAACCAGTGAAACCCATCTCTACTAACCAAATACATAAAATTGCTGAGGCGTAGGTGGCGGGCCACCTGCTTAGTTCCCGCAGCCATTTCGGGAGGCTGCAAGTAGGAAATTGCACTGAACTCAGGGGAGGTGGGCTGCAGTGGAGCCACAGAGGGCCCACTGCCCGTCCAGCCCTGGGTGAACACAGCCAGACCTCCATCTCAAGGGAAAAAAAAAAAACAGTTCCAGTGTGCCATAACAGCAAAATCCATGAAAGTAGGACCTCAAAAATCTCTCCTCATAAACAGTGGAGCAAACTGGCAAAAATGGCTCAATCAAACTTTTTCGAGAAACTCGCCTGAAATTCAGCCAGAGGCTAGGCTCGGGAGAAATGTTTATCGGAAAAACAGTAGATCTTGGTCAAAAAAGTGGGCATTTCACTTGCCCGCTAAGTTAAAGAAGTGCACCCTGGGCAGTTCCCATGCGGTGGCCTTGAAT